GGACCTCTCCGCCTTGCCCTAACCCTGCCTGTCATGTGTATTAGTGTCTGTCTTGTTTTGTTGTTGTGAAGCACTTTCAGATCTCTATCTTGAAAGGTGTTACACACACAACACTCTTTACTTACTTATGCACACACACACTCACACACACGCGAGCCTGCTGCCTGTCTGTGAAGCAAGTAATAATTGCCACAGACGCAGACGTCTTTAATTGCGTCTTGGACTCCCTCTAGTGGACAGGAAGTGTAGCTCTGTTCATTCTAATGCTGTCAGAAAACGACAGACGCTGCCCATCACGCTTTGGCCACCAAAATTTAAAATAAAACAAAAACAATATCTGTCTGATGGGCTGACGACAATGTGATCAGTGGTCGTACTGTTCAATCAGACAATTCTGATCCGAGATCAGCCCAAGTATCAATGTGAACATCAGCCACCAGCACGTTTCACGCCTACAGCAAAGCTTTTTGACGCCTCGGTAGTCTTCTCTGGCTCAGTGGCGCAGTGTGCGCTCCAACTGTGCGCAGCCTGCGCAACAGTCTGGAGGGACAGAACCAGACTGTGCGTAGCTGGGCTCATCTGTAGTCAGGTCAAACACAAGACTCATCCATTATTTATTTAAGCTGTCGTCTTCTTGGACTTGAAGGTTTTTCCTGCATCCAGGCGATTAGTTGGATTTATCTGTATCCTGAACCGAGAGTGGTACTGAGGTGCGTTTGCTTTCATGTGACCCCCCTTAGCTGCGAACTTTGAAGCACTTTTATCTTTTAGCCGCGCTGCTTTGCTGCCCTCTAGCGGTGATGAGTGATTTTGACACCCAAAAAGACAAATGGCTGTTCTGGAGTCAGAAATCTGATCAAAAATACATTATATTTCATATTTGATAGCTTATTGTAAATAGTGACCGAAATACTCACAATTATAGCCAAACAAAGAAAATTATGAAGGTTAGATCAGAAACCTGGGAGTCATTTTTCACTCTTTACTCTCTATACCACACATCTGTCATATCACTAAAACACCCTTCTTTCACCTTCAAAATATTGCCCGTCTACGCCCTATTCTGTCCTCTACTGCAACAGAAACCCTCATCCATGCCGTCATCTCCTCTAGAATAGATTACTGCAATAGCCTACTCTATAGTCCCATCCACACACATAAAAAACTTCAGTATGCTCAAAAGTCAGCTGCACGGCTCCTCAGTCACACCAACAAGAGAGATCACATAACCCTGGTCCTAAAAAACCTTCATTGGCTTCCCATTCACCAGCACATCCAGTTCAAGATTTTACACATCACCATCAAGGCCCTCAATAATCTCGCCCCTTGTTATGTGTCTGTCTCCACCGCCCTTCCCATTGTCTTCTGCTTCCAGTCTCCTCTCTCACGCAATAACTTCAAAACATCACACCATTGGGGACAGAGCTTTCTCTGTGGCTGCTCCCACCTTATGGAGCTCTCTCATCCAATATATTTGTACTGCTGACTCAGTTCATAAATAATAAAAAAATACTCCTGAAAACGTTCCTGTTTAATTAAGCATTTAAAGCCTGTTAATTTATTTCACTGTCTCCTCTCTGATTGCAAAGTCTTTGAGTAATGGTTAAAAGCACTACATAAAACCTATGCATTATTATTTGTTATTATTATTATTATTATTATTATTATTATTATTATTATTATTATTATTATTATTATTATTATGTGCATTTTAACTCATTTGTAGTCATGTTCTGCTTTCTAATCCCTCAGAAGGTTCTGACCGATAATTAATCTGGACCAGACTTTAGACTAATCTAATCCAGACAGAGGGATACAAACGTTACGTCACAGATTTTTCCATGTTTCATCACTAAAGTGTTTGCTGCCAAACGTGCACTGCCCTTGGATTTTTTCACTTTTGCCTGGCAGAGCTTTGGCTGGAACCTGGATTCAGGAACAAATTGAACCAATGCGTGATAATTTACAACAAGGATTTCAATAAGTGCTATGGCCTTTTTTGTTGAAATTTTATTGTGACAAAAGGCAATACTGCAATGATAGAAATCATCATGGATGTTGTGCAATATCACATAACACACGGTCACACAGTGCGTGGTTGTAGGAGATCAGAGGGAAAAAAACTAGATTAATGAAAGTGAACTATCATGCTGCTGATCACAAACTCTGAATAACAACAATCATAAAAAACAGGTCATTACACATTTATTTACAGCGTTGAGGTAAAGTATACACACCCTTACAGATTTAGTTCAATTTACTTTTTGTTATATTGATGCCTAACTATTTTAGACATGATATCAAAGGTAGCCTGAGTAATTAAAACCATGTAGTCTTTAGGCCATGCTTTCATTTATCCAAACCAGCCTTTTAAATGAAAGTTGAAACAGGTAGTAACACTCTTGAAGCAACACCTGCATTTCCAATCCAATCCAATCCAATTTTATTTATAAAGCACATTCACAAGGTATTACAACCAAACAAGGCGCTGTACACTAAAAATGTTGGTTAATTAATTTGCTTAATTTGCTCAAGGTGGTCCAGATACTGAAGCAGCAAAGCAGCCCAGACCATCACACTACCACCACCATGTCTGACTATTACGGTGATGTGTTAGTGTTAGTTTTACTCCAGATGGAGGAGGACACACTTCCAGAAAGTTCTGCTTCTACTTGTTGTTCTACAGAATAAGTATGCAGAAGTCTACCCCCGTAATACGAAGTGTGTTAATGATCCCTGAATAAGCAAAGAACCCCAGAATCTTCTGATTAAACATTCAAACATCACTGAGATTGATATTTCATATTTGTATGGAGTAATCACTTCTTATTGGTCATAATTAATATGTATTAATTACTACACAGGCTAGAGGCTAACGTTGAGCTAACGATGCTAACAGTGAATTAGAAATAAATAGTCAGTTCTAAAAATATGTCAAGCGACTTTTTCAATTACCGACAACTCGATGTTACAGTGAAATGTATTATTTACTTGTCAGCTTACCGTGTATGACTCATCTCTGCTCATTTCTTCTGGTGCTGATATGAAATGGTAACAGGCATGAAACTCACAAACATGAGGGGCGGAGTCACTCAGAGTGGACTCTTTTGTTTTGAAACGTAGACTGCAGTACCCATATTTGACCACAAGGCGTAATTGTTCATGCACCTTTATCAAAGGGGACATTTATGTTTTCACACAGAGACAGGCTGGTTTTTACCTTGGTAACATCATGATATAACCGTGTTTTTGTATTAATCAAACAATTTCTCCATTAATTAACTTTTCAATCAAAGTAAATTGTTAAAATTAACTTTAGCTGAAAGGAAAGTCAGATGGTTTCTTCTCTCAGTCGTTTAAATTGTTAGAACTCAGTGATCTTTACTAAAATGTACATAGTATAACCCTATGGATGTCAGATTAATTAAAACAATATCATCCAAAATCTGTAAGAACCTAAACAGAGCTATGGAAAATGAACCCAGGTTATTTTACAGGACTGTTTTTGTGGATTATTATTTTTTGTGTTCCTCTGCTGGTTTCTCACAGCTGCAGTGAAATAAATCTTGTGGTGCTGCAGGAGAAAAAGGAGCTGAAACTCTGCAAGCATCCTGAAAAGGAAAGGCATGATTTAAATGTAAAATGAGGAGATGTCTGCGACTGACTTACTCATCGCTGTATAACATGTACAAGTGAATGCATGACAGTTTTGCTCTCCGTATATCCGAGTAAATATGTTGCTAAACTGACTGAAGTTATCTTTGCACGCTTATGCAAAAAATCACTAAAAACAAACTTCAGCGTTCCAGCTCAGTTACACAATGAGGAGACCAGGATGGAGCCTAACAATAAAAATATGTGAATGTCTCTTTTTCTCTGATCACAAATGAAACGAACCCTGATCTGATGGAGGCCGTGCTTGGAGCCGCCCTGACCCTGGAAACAGAGGGCTGATGGAAGCTGTCCTCCAACAGCTGCCTAGGAGACTCTGGTCAATTGAAAGAGTGATTATCGCAGCTTAATCCCAGATGATCTCTGCCTCTGAAAGGCACTGCAGCAACGGCAGCGAGGGCTCACTTTAGAAGTGACGGCCACGACAGCTGGGAGACGAAGGAGCGAAAACGGTTAAACAGATGAACGAGCCGGCCATCAGACGCTTAATGAGCCTGACATCTGTGTGCTGATGCACTTTTATTCATCTATTCAATGAGAGCTGTTTTAATCTTCATAATTCAGCCATTAAACCTTCTAGAGGGAATTCTGCCTGTAAGGATGTGAGGAAATAACAGAAATAACGACTCATTGGTGTTTTATAGCATAAGATATTTATATTTTCCATGTTTTCAGACGGGATTAAACTAATGGATGCACAAGATTTGAACATGGATCTCTTGGAACGTGTTGTCCAGTAATCCTCTCCATTAGTGTTGTTTTAGCAGAAGCAGCCTGTGCTCCTCTTTCCTTTTATCACATTTCGTTTCTCAGACAGGACATTAGAAACCAGATTTATTTCTTGCCCCTCTATTTTCGAGAGCTTCACATGTTCTGAAGTCCACGGTGGGGTTTGGTTGCAATCATCCTAAAGGACTGTTGGCCGTGATGACATCAGAGCTGCAGATCAAATAATCCTTTATGATAAATATTAAAAAATCACAAGCACTCTATGATGGAGACATCTTGCAGCTATAGGCCGTTGCATCCCGTGATTATGGTAGTCACAGGATACTTCCGGTCCGCTCTCTTAATCTGACCCAATGTAAGCTCACAAATCCTCTCACTGGCCCTCCTTTGAGAGATAAAGATCCTGATTGCTCCCCCTCCTCTGTATTTTACTCAGAAACAGCAGGAGTCACCGTTTGTGACTGCTGGCATGTCAGGACTGGCTTTGTTTTATTTTCTCCTCAGAGGAGAAATCATCTCTTTTTGATACCTTACAAGTGCTTCAAGCTCTTGTTTGCAGTCATTTGAAGCCCGACTTCCAACGGGCCTGGATGCTTTACATCTTCAGGAATCTTTCAAAATAGCACAACTTTGTTATTTTCCTTCTGTTTTTTTTTTTTTGCGTCAAACTCAGAGGCAGCTTCAGTCTAACGTAGATGTAGAAGCTGCACCTGAACAAAAAGAGGAGCGCAGTCCTAATCAGCACCTGCAACCTCCATAGCCATGTTTGCCAGCCGTGGTGCCAGCGGTGGAGGTAAAGGGGGCAAATACTCAGTGGAGGACCTCTATGGCATCAGCAAGAAGCCCAAGGCATCCACTTCCTCTGGGAGCATTGTGGCCAAGTCTGGAACCAAGAGCAGCAAGACCTCGGAGCAGAGGAGCGAATCGGAGGCCTTTGCCTCTCAGATCCTGGAGGCGGCGCACAAACTGGTGGAGCGGAGGCGACTGGAGCTTTACCTGAGGGAGTATGGCCTCTCGCTGGCTGATTGTGTGTCGGAACGCTCTGCTATGACATACAGGTGAGGTGGAGAAGTTCTGCCATGTTAAAACATAGAAACGTCTTAAGCAATGGAGCAAAAACCAAAGTGATGTGCAGACTGAGCCGCTGCACCTGAAGATGATGATAATAATAATAATAATAATAATAATAATAATAATAATAATAATACTGCTGGGTACTGCTGCGCCTCAGTCCAATTATTATTATTAATAATAATAATAATAAAACTTTCTAATAGACAAGGTTTAAAAGTTCTACATCTAAATGCAGAAGCTGAAACACCAGAGCTGATGAAAAAAAACTATATTTGGAGTCTTTTATTCCACTGGTGACCTAGAAAGAAAAATTAGGCGTTTGATGAGATTTCAAAGGAGAGAGCTACTGAGTAAATGAGAAGCATCTGGTTGTTCTGGATCAGCGATGGGACTGGGTCTGTCTCAGACAGCCTGACGGGGTCAGCACCATCGCTGCAGACGCTCAGCGTTAATAATGCAGGGATGTGACAGCAGTGAACAGGGATTTGGTCGTCATGGCGCTTTTATTTCTAAGTCTGAAGTGTTCAGATTGTGTGTCATGAATTACAAGGTTGCTGTTTTTGCAGCATGTTAGGATGTGACTTATAAATAAGTAACTTTTACTAAGAAGGCTTGGGAGTGATGCGGGTAAATGTTGCACATTTAACCCTTGCATGCCTCTTGTCTATATAAGGTGTTGCTTGGATGATGACTAATACTAAATATGAATATGATTGTGGGTTTCATTACACAGCATGACATCTGCTGTTCTGCTCTGGTCAGCTGGGCTCCAGTGAAGTGGCCTCTAGGTGGCAGCGTATCCCTGGTTTAAAGACCAGTCAGCTACATTGACTCAATAAAACCACTCAAATAAGAATGTCTACAGCAGAAATAAAGATCACAAAATCACTATTTAAGCAAACGTTTTCCATGTGTGCTGAGTTGTAGCCGTTAGCCTGGAGCTACTTCCACCAGTAGCACCAATTTCACTGATGTCTTCAGCTGATTTTACCACCTCTGGCTGAACGGCTCCTGTTGCTAAAACTGACTCTTAAATCCTGTAATGGCAGCAATTTCCTTCTCTGTGCAGAACTCTGCTTCCTTGGGACGGGAAATTATTACTTTGAACAAAAAGATGCAAAAAGCCAAAATCTGAATTAAGTTTTTTCAATCTCGATTTACCGGTCGATCTACGTCCCAATCCTCACCTATGGTCATGAGCTTTGGATAATGACCGAAAGAACGAGATCGCGGATACAAGCGGCCGAAATGAGTTTCCTCCGTAGGGTGGCCGGGCTCAGCCTTAGAGATAGGGTGAGGAGCTCGGACATTCGGGAGGGACTCGGAGTAGAACCGCTGCTCCTCCGGATCGAAAGGAGCCAGTTGAGGTGGTTTGGGCATCTGGCCAGGATGCCTCCTGGACGCCTCCCCGGGGAGGTGTTTCGGGCATGTCCTGCCGGCAGAAGGCCCCCGGGTCGACCCAGGACACGTTGGAGAGGTTACATCTCCAATCTGGTCCGGGAACGCCTTGGGGTCCTGCCGGAGGAGCTGGTGGACAAGGCCGGGGAGAGGACGGTCTGGAGCTCCCTAGTTGGGATGCTGCCCCTGCGACCCGGACCCGGATAAGCGGAGGAAGACGAGGACGAGGACAGTTTTTTCAATTGAAATTTGCAACTCAGATTCAGCAATGTGAGGTTAAAATTTAGAATTTGACCAAAAGACTAAAAATGCAGTATTTTCCAGAACTAAAGGCTAATTGTCAGAAATATTTGAAAATATTTAAATCAGGAATCACATTTTTTTCGGTAAGAGAGACGCTTCGGTAACTGAGCCTTGTTTCTGCTGTTCGTAGTGGTGGAGATTATTCAGAGCGATGGTGAAAGTTGAGTCCATATGGACACAAAAAGGACCAATGGAGGTTAGAGCGATTTAACTGTAGAGATATTAAATCCTTTCTGTCGTTATTCAAAGACATCTCCGCGTGTGGCCTTTACACCTGCAGACTTCACCATCCCAGCGTGAGCTCGGCTGTAGAAGACGCTGATCAAAGTTTTATTCTGCTGACAGCTGAATGCCACACAATCTGCTCTGGGACTGCAAGCTGCTTTAATACAAGATGTGAAAGCAAACTGACAGAGATGATGAATGTGTGTGCACACTTTTATGCACATTGGAGGTATTTCACATGTTGCCCCTCTGTGGGAAGTTTAGATCCAACTAAACGAAGACAGAAAAGTCTTAGGATGACAGCTTTCTTTAAAGGAAAAAAAAATGTAATATTTCCCTATCACTGGAAGATTTCTTTCAAAAATGAAAGTAGCCAAGGCGATGCTACTGCTCGATCACAGTGATAAACAACTTTTCAAATATAGACCAGTATCGTTATTACCACAATTCTCAAAAATTCTGGAAGGGATATTTTTAAAAAGGTGAAATTATTTAATTAGTGAAACACCAAATAATCTGGGACCAGCAGTATGAATTCAGGAAACATCATACCACCTCCTAGCTTTAAGTGATTTTGCTGAAGGTGGAGAGGTGGAGCTGAGGGTGGGGCTGTAAGGCTGGGATCAACTGACGACACCCAGTTGCACTAGCTACAAGCTAACCTGAAGCTAACCCAAAGCTAATGCAGAGGTAGGGGCTAAGCTAACGGAGGTAGCAACCTAGCTACAACCGGAGTTAACTGTGCACAACACCAGAGCTTTTGAGTCAGAGATACGCCGGGCTGACCGCTGGGGAAAACCGGGTGGAACACAGAGATCTACGAGAGCTCCACAAGCCGGCAGCCGCACAGCAGACAAGCGCCGCTGCGATCTGAGATGCGCAGAGCTGCCGCTGGTGAGAACCGGGTGGAAAGGTTTCCATCCCAGAACTTCACAAGCCGGCAGCCCGCGCAGCAGTCAGGAGCCGCGATCAGACAGAGCTGCGCTGAGCTGCGGGGAGGGGAGAACGGGTGGAAAGCAGAGGTCTCCCGAGAGCTCCACAAGCCGATAGTCGGAACCCAGCTCCACCAACATGTTTTATTTCAACCCATTTTCTGAAGTGCAGCATTATGTTAAACGCACTGGGTTTTACCCTATTACATTTAAATTTCATGGTTAAACAGTACATGTTAAAATCTAAACTCAGCTCGGCAGTGACCTAAAATACATAAATATAATTTTACTTACCGAAAAAAATGAAGTGGAGACTCCTTGGACGCTCTATTAGTGCAATTAATGCCACAGCAAGTCATTTTGTCCAACAATTGCACAAAAAATATCCAAACAAGAATACACAAACACAGAGACTCAAAATCCTGGAACAGTTTCCAAGCCAGGCCGAGGCTCTACTGAGGCCTTTCCACGGAGCTAGCTCTGTGGTCACGTGGGTCTGAGGCGGCGGTCACGTGTGTCGGATGCTCATTAATTATACAGAATTTTAGGCTTTTAATACACTTAAACAGAAGAGTGAGAAAAAAATTCACCCCCCTCAGAGTTGTCATGAGTGTAAACTAGATAATTTAAACCAAGAACATGTTTTGGAACCAGGCTGTAAACATGTTTATTTCTGCTGTGAAATTGGTATTTTTAACATGGGAGTCAATGAGGATTTGCTCGCTTCTGACACCAGCCCCCAGCGGATGAGGGTGGAACTGCAATTTTTGGTACTTCCGGGTTGGACTCAATTGTTGAGCCGCATTGTAGGGCCCTGGTTGAGCTAGTCTTTTTTTGTGTGTGTGTTATTTTTTTGGGGTGGGGGTGGGAGAAAATTTTTAATTCATTGTCTAATTCTGTGTGTCTGCTGGCATGATGATAATATAAGGCAGAAGGGGAAGGTGAACACTAACCTTTGCTTCTGCCTACACCCTTTTGGATACAAAGGTCAACTAGATTCTGTTACTTGTACCCAAAAATATATTCATTCATTCATTCATTCATTCATTCATTCATGCATTCATTCATTCATTCATAGGTGCAACACTTCATCTGCCTCTCTTCTCACCCTGATGCACTATCACTCTGGAACAGGGTTTTCAATTCAATTCAATTCAAGTTTATTTACATAGCGCCAAATCATGACAAAAGTCGTCTCAAGGCACTTCACATAATAAACATTCCAATACAAGTCAGTTCATTAAGCCAATCAGAAAAAAGTTTCCTGTATAAGGAACCCAGCAAATTGCATCAAGTCACTGACTAGTGTCAGTGACTTGATGCAATCCTCATACTAAGCAAGCATTTAGCGACAGTGGAGAGGAAAACTCCCTTTTAACAGGAAGAAACCTCCAGATCCTGGCTCAGTATAAGCAGCCATCTGCTACGACTCACTGGAGATGGAGAAGACAGAGCACACACACACACACACACACACACACACACACACACACACACACACACACACACACACACACACACACACACACACACACACACACACACACACACACACACACACACACACACACACACACACACACACACACACACACACAGAGTTATCTCCCAAACCATATACCATACATATATAGTACTGTTTCTATGGGCACATTGTGATTTCTTAGTAAATATTCTATTTGGTGAGAGATAAACTTTATTGTATTTATCCTAGTGAATCTATAATTAAACGGGTAAACTAGTAGTAGCACATTCAATGTCAAAGAAAGTAAAATGTTATTATCAGGAGAGGAAGAATGTTTAAGTGGTTAGCAGCAGTGTTCAAGCCGATGGCCCCCTCCATGAGGCCACCACAGCTCAGCAGAACATCATTGTAGCTTCTTCTGGGGAGAAAAACACTTAGAGAAAAAATAAAGTTAACAGCTGAAACAGCAGGAAATATTACAGTTAAAGAGCAAATTGTAGAAGAAAGTAGTCAAGTGTGGAAAGTGGTCAGTATGTCCTCCAGCAGTCTAAGCCTACAGCAGCATAACTACAGAGATAACTCTGGATAAGGGCAGGGCAAGGGAGAGCCTTCTTTACCAACTGTGTTCTCCACCTCCCTCAACTCCCCCACGTGTCCAGAT